GCATCCTACAGCACTAACCTGATGACACTCCCTGGTTTTGGAATTATTTGGTCAGTGATGAACCTTCAACATTCTTCTCGAGTTGGTGTTCTCTCATTTCTGTGGGATGAGAGCAGGGAGCGCAGATGTTAATGTGTTAACTTTCTCTTATTGTTCTGAAGCATATTATTTCAATCAAAGGTTTGGTCCATACAGGAAACACTCAGGAGGGGAAAAGACAATGCTCCAGAAGTGGCAGGTAAGCTAAATCTTGGTTGCACATGGTTAAGCGAAGAATTTCAGCACCTGTCTGTGTGTCTGTGCACAGATATGTGTGTGTACATATGTACTTCAAGGCCTAAGCTGTTCTCTCGCTGCTGGAGGTGAGGTTATTGGCAAGAGGAGCAGAGTATTTACATCTGGTTATTGCAGAGGTTTTGCTCCTCCTGCTGTGAAACATATGGTGCTACTGTCTGGCAGACTAAGTGTGATTTTATGCACATTTTTAAACTGAGACCAAAGAGAGCCACCTAGTTGAATGACTGTTCACAGATCATCTGTATGTCTAAATCAGTGCACCTCTCATTCCCCCAGATGTTTTGCTGAGCAGAGAGATGCATTTACTTTCCTGTATCCCTGATCTTGGTGACCCAAGACACATTAAAGAAATCTGTATCTTCTTGTTTATATGTAGCACTTTGGGCAGCCTTTTCTGTACAGGCAGTTGTCCAGGATTTTCCAATATACAGATTGCATGCATTTGGCTCACTTTTAAATTGGGAAAAAGTGCCCTGTTATGCAAATACAGCATAAAAGCAATGGGTGATTATAGACAAATGCAAATGGCCTATCTGAAGAAGAGACAGAATGAAGATTCAGATTCTGTTGAATGGATTGTTGTATTGTGCTGATATGAATGGCAATGGGTGATTGATTACACTATTTATAATTCTTGTCCTGGTAGACCTGGGAACCACAGGACTCTGAGGGTGCATTTGAGGCATGGTTTTCAGGGGTGGAGTTAGGAGATTTTAATACTTGTTTACTTTCCCTGGCAGAAGAGGGAGATCAGCAACTTTGATTATCTCATGTACCTGAACACATTGGCTGGCCGTAGCTACAATGATTACATGCAGTATCCTGTGTTTCCATGGGTCCTCGCTGACTATCACTCCGAGGTCAGTGCTTGCTGCCGCGTTCTGTACTTTCTATGATAGCAACCATACAAAGGTTTGTTGAATGATGCCTTTGAAATAGAGGGGTCTAGACCAAGGGTTCAAAATTTGAGATAGTAAATGTGAACTGTACTTATTCTTTATAGATTAGCCTTATCTTCAAATCAGTATGCTGAGGATCACATTCTGCCTTAGAAAGGTGGATGAACATCTGTTAAATACATACCTAGTTAAGGGCAGGCTGCATTGGCTCAACAGATAGGCAGGGACAGGCTTCTGTGACCCCTGACAAGGAGGTTTCGACAGAAAAACCTTGAGAGCAATTTGCAACCTGACAGGTCCTTTATTTGTGAAGCTCCTTGTACATGCTATCCTTTCAGTGGCACATGTTGCCACTCTCTGTCCAAGTCCTCTCCAAGTTCTGGAGATGGGTGTTTTAATGCTGAGTCTGTGGCCTTCTTGTATAGGTGAGACTTCCAGCACAGCCTTGCCACTATCCAGTGTCACTGAGCTAGTCAGGATGTCTAAGACTCGGGGATCTAAAAAACTACATCTTTTCTGGTTTTGCTTTTCAGACTCTAAACCTTACTAATCCTCACACATTTCGGGACCTGTCAAAGCCCATGGGAGCGCAGACTATGGAGAGGAAACGCAAGTTCATCCAGCGCTACAATGAGGTGGAGAAGAGCGAGGGTGAGTGTTTTAGGAGACTAATAGCAGAGGCTTGAGTCCCCTCAGGCCTTTGGGGATGCTGGTGAATCCCTTGGAAAAGGTCACCCAAAAACTTTCCAGAGCTGTAGTGAAGGGAAGCACTGTGTCTAGGAGATCGTCTCGCTTCTGGATAGAAACTGGTTGAGGATTCAAAGAGAAATGACTCCTACAAGCACTGCCTTATGTGCCTTGTACTGCTGCATTCTGCCCTCTTCCCCTGGGCAAAAAGAGATGCTACAGCAAAAATCAATATTCCCTAGAAAAGACTGCTCTGTTAACTAAGCTGCACACATTAGTCTTCTCTGTTAGATAAGCTGCATGTAGAAGATGGCTGCACGCAACTTAGCTAACAGCTACTGTAAGAAAAGGAAATGGGATGTTGAGGCTGTTGACCTCTGGAGATCAAGACCTTTTTTGGTACTAATGGGGAAGGGGATAGTCTGGAAAGTTAAAGGCCTTACTTTTCAGAAAATGAAATGCAGAAGGCAAAAAAAGAACATACAGGGATGGTAGTAACTGTGCACATTCAATGCAAATATGCAAGGTGTGCTCTTGCTCACAGATCCTTGAACACATCTGCTTTAAAGATCTGCATTTAGTTGTGCTGTAGTAAGTGGGTGCTATGGGCTTGAAATGGTGATATTTTGCACTGAAATCTGATTTGTGTCCAACTTCCAGGAGACCTGTCAGCCCAGTGCCATTACTGTACTCACTATTCATCAGCAATTATAGTGGCATCTTACCTGGTCCGAATGGAGCCATTTACCCAGACCTTCTGTTCTCTGCAGGTAAGGGGGCAAGATAGCTTCCCTCCTACACCTTGTTATGAACTATGCAGCACATTATAGTGGCTGCGTAATGAAGAGGGATTAATTCTTTGGACATTTTCTGTATACTCTGTGTGGACTCTGAGTTCACTGAAGGCTCTAGGCTGTGTCTGTTGAATTCAGTGAAAACATCTCAATGGGTGCATGACTGATGCCTGATGATCTTGTTTTTTTCTGAGGGAGAAGGATTATTTAGTTTTGGTCCTGTGAAGCATTTTGTGAGAGCTGAGGCATGTAAACATCTAGACAATATTTTACTACCTGTCTGAACATAAGCTTCTGACCTTGGGGCATGAGACACTTTCATGGTAGGTATTCTAAACCCAAATGTGCATACAGTAATGCGGTTACAGGCAAGTACTTGGAGCTGGCATAAAGAACATTCCTGGGCCAGATGAGGACACACAGGTTCTGATCGGAGGGAATGATTGCAACCATGGGATCAGCTCCCTGAAGGAGAAGTGGGGTGAGACTACAATCAGTGCTCCAGAAGGAATATTTTGTTTTACCTTGTTCTGAACTTGCTGCTGTTTTAGGGTGCCAAAAGCACTCCCTGTGGAACTGAATTTCATGGAAACTGAATTTCTGTGCTTACCTTTCCCAGCTGGTCAGCATACAGGGGCACCAAATTTCCTGACTGTCCTCTTCAGCAGGCAGTTGGTGACCCACAAGCACAGATACTTGGGCTGTAGCAGTTGTTACCCTTATTTCTGTAATATGTGTTGTGTTATAGCAGGGTCTACCAGCAGGACAAGTCCTCAAAAGTGTATTTTTTTAAGGAGTCTCTTGCTGAAATCTGCCTATCCTTACGGAGCAATGTGAGGGAGACAGCTAGGCCAGAATATTCCACACTCAGAGACTGCTGTACATACGGTGAGGACTGGCCATGCTTCCTGCAGCTCTCCAAGTGCTTTGCTGTTTGTGCTGGTCTCTTTTTTCTTTTTTTTTTTTTTTTAAATGAACTAATACAAATAAAGTGCTGTGCTAATTAAGTAATAAGCTCTATGATATCAGCTGTTACCAGCAGTAGCTGATGGGTTAGTGAACCACCTGAGGCAATGGTTACCATTGCACTCTGTGAGCCATATGTTAGCTGCAGTCATGAATGACTGTGGAGCAGTTATTTCTTGTTGTAAACAACAAAGGCTGCTGTATCTCACTGGCACACTTTTCATGCATAACAAGTTCCCAGTCGGAGTAGCTGCTTTGCAGCAGAGTTTGTGTGTGATTAGCAGGTAACCAGCATTTTTGTGAGGATAGTTATCTTCAAAGGCTGCTGAGATCTCAAGCGCTCAAAGTTTTGTCTGGATATGGATCCACTGAAACTGTTGAACTTCTTCATTCTCATTCCTTTGCTCTTATATTACTACATGTTCAGCTGAGATCATTGCTGTCACTTCCCCCAGGTGACTGGTCCTATAGTGGCTTAGGAATTTCTAACTGTGAGATGCAGTCAGGCAAACGCCAGACCCGAGAACTGTATGCTCAAGTCAAGAGCAGGTTGGAAAAGTAGTACTCCCAAACTTAGGACCTTGGAAGGGTGCTGAGTTGGGAGATGTGGAAGCTTCTCAGCATCTTAAAAAGTAGAAAAGCTATGCTTATAACTGCAAGCTGCTGGTCTGAATGCACATGACAAGGAAATGCAAAAACTTGGGCGGACCCCTTGTGAAAAAAATAATGTTGACGTACCATCCTCTTTCTCAAGTCGAAGAATTGATTTGCACCTGACCACAGAAGGCGGCAGTGAGGATGCATTGCCTCTAGTAAGGGAACTGTACAGGAGTTTACAAAACCTTATTATTTCCCATTTTATTTAAGTGTCTTGAGATCTGACTCTGGAGAAAAGTGTGTATGTGCTTTGCATATTGTACTGGAATGGATGAAAGACTGGCTCATCAGACAGGTGTTGGATGGTACCTTCTGCTTCACCTTAGTCAAGTACCTCCCAGAATTCCTTTCAGGTGTTGGTCTCAGCACCACAAAAAAAAAGCAGCAAAGGTTTCTGTGTTTAGTGGCTGTTGGAAAGGCATTCTAGGACCCATGCCCTCAATAATTAGTGACACTTGATTTTGATTCAACTCAGATTTTATCCCCTTTTATTCTTATCCCATTGTCGCATTTCAGCTAACAGGCTGATCTTTCCTGGTGTTTACCTCTCAAAGAGAATAGGATTCATGCTCTTCATTGTGTCTCTGACTCTTGAGCAGTCATGTAGGCACTGTCTGCAGGTAATTACTTCTCAGCAACTCTGGGGGTGTGGTAAGTCTTTGCACCTTTGTAAGCATCTCTCAGAAACACTTTGAGGTCTTTGGGTTTAAAGCACCACCAAGGATCTTAGTATGCTTAGTTTTAGGAGCATGTCAAGTTCTAACTTCTCTCTAGAGATCACTTTGACTAGTTGCTTTATAAAATGAACTGTGGTTTTAAAAAGCATATTTTTTCAGTATTCCTGATGACAGTATAAGGCCTCTACTGAAAGGAAACACAGACTTACTGTATCTAGCTATCGAAAAGCCATAAGAGTTTATCTCAACTTGCAATCTAAAGGCATAAAGCAATTCTTGATTCTCTTTTTCCCTTTCAGTGCAGTTTTTGCATTCATAGAGAGAGCAAACTCATTAATTCTGATATAAATATATGCAAATAAATTTATTAATATAGGAAATGGGAAAATCAGTTATTGCTTCCTTTATAAATAATACAGGCTTAAGTTTTAAAGATATTACTTTTCCCTAAAATGAATTAGACAGCCAGAGAAAAAATCACATTTTTTCGTGGTGGTAATATCTTTAACCAGATTTGTCGCGCTAACAGCATTTCCTATGTATATATTATTTTTATTTAATACAGGTAATCTTTTTATTACAAATCATATTGTTTCTCAGGAGATTACCATCAGCTCTCATAAAAGCTGCAAAAAAAGATGAAAAAGCATCAATCACCACCAGACACAGCGCACTGTGTGCAGATTAAATATACAAAGCCCTTTAATATGCTTCAATGAGATACTTGTTAGCTGTTGATTTATTTATAGTCCTTCTTCTACTCTGTTTTAATTTCAATTTGAATTTGACTCCAAGGGTCCCTGCCTAATAATGATCAAGAACAAGATGACCTTGTGCATCAGATTAACTCCAGCTAGGCTTATTCATGTGATTAGCCACTTTTTCACTCAGTCCCTTGAGTGGGTGTGGGAAGGCTTCACAGTTGTCAGTAGCATAAGGAAGAAGGCCATCAAATACAAGGAACTAAAGCAGAACTATGCTGTCATTTATTTATAGAAGAGGCTGGACCAAAAACCTGGTCAGAATTCACCTCAGGGGAAACAGCATTGGGGTATTTCTGTCCAGAATATGTGTCGGCTTTTGGTGGGAGTCTATCTCAAAAGACAAGCAAGGAGATGTGGCTTCAGAACTTAGGGTTTATTGACTTCTGTGTTTTGGTAGCTTATCTATGAGGGTAGTTTCTCCCTAACAAAAGATAATGGCAAAAGTAATTTCTTGACTTGCAGCTCCCAAACTTAGCAGAGTTTGTAGATCCAAAGGAGTTGCATCATAAGTGTGCAGGTACTTGGGGGGGTCAAAAGGGCAGTGGTTCTTGTCAGAAACCAATGTGGCACCTGATGCTTAGGGTTCGTCTGGTCCATGGGAGTGGTATCCTGTCTTTACAGCATGAGGGTGCTTAGATGTTGTTTTCCTATTCAATAGATTGCAAGTCAAAGATTCAGCTGACTGTTACTGTGCAGAAGGACAGCATCTGCCTCATCTGGCACATGCAACAGTCTACAGGCAAAGAGAAAACTAACCAAAAGCTATCAAGTTTTCTCAAGAGGTCAGCCATAAACAGAACCTGGCTGTGTCTCACATTCATTAACAGATTCACTCTTGCACCACCTCTGGGTTTTAGTGTCTTCATTCTGCAATCCTGCTGGCTTGATCTTTTTGCCTAGTGAAGCAGCTCTGAGGATTGAATGGTTGAGGGTGAGCAATCATTCACCCATTTTCACTGCACTGCAGAACTGCTTAAAGATACTTGTTCTATCTCTGACAGTCTCTCTTGAGCCCTGGCAGTGGGATGTAGTGTTACATCCCGTGACATATAATCCAAATTAATTAACCACAATGAGAAATACGTATATTAGCCTGCGATCATGTTGCAGTACTGCTGTCAGTACCTGAACTAGGTATTGAGAAACAATTTGGTTCTGTCACTTTATACAGCTAAAAAGTCAGCGTTCTTCTGAAACAGCTTGTTCATTCACACAAACTCATTCAGATGATCTCCAAAAACTGATTGTCTATTTATTTCCATTATTGTAGAAATTTTGTGTTAAAATAAATCCCTTCATTCTCAGTGTAGGGATCCCTGTATAAAGGTGAACCCGGATTTTCACAAATGCATACAGTATCTGAAATCTTATTAGAAAAATCCTGTAGGAATTATGGTTCCAATGTAGGGCATATACTCTTCATTCAGTGAGTGATTTTTTTGTTTGTTTTTTCTTTCTTTCTTCTTGAGGCCTTAGTTCAGAGTGATGTCTGGGGCTACTAAGGCTGCTTTTGTCTAGTGTTTGACTCTCATTAAACTAAACATGTTCAAATGCTCTTAGGATGTGAGGTAGTTTGTTTCTCCTTCCTTACATGTTAATTCAGCTTGGGACCCAAACGTTCTTCCCTTCTTCCCCTCTTCATGCTGTCCCTCCCTCCTTGTAAGGAATGAACAGTCCCTGCAGGCTGTTGCCCACTGGGCCTTTCCTGTTTGCCTGGATCTGATTAATGTTATTTCAGTGGCACACCCTTTCCCCAAAGGCTTTTCTCTAGAAGATTGCACATAAGATTGTTTGCAACAATTTGGGTCATGACTGAAGTGAAAACACTGAAGATGTGTCCACTGCTTGCAAATCACTGTGGGATGAAAGGAATGAATTGCCTTCAGAAGTGTTAATAATGGGTATGCTGATACTCTCAAGCTGCCCATGATCATTTCTGCTTGCCTCTGTGTTATTGGAAGCTATGCTAAGACTCCAAGCTTTATGGTATTCTCAACCTACATACCTACAAATCAGGACTAAGACAGCCCCTAATATAAGATCACAGTAAATAGAGGTGGGACAGATCTTGAGATTACACCTAGTCAAATGTGATGAGGTGATTATTGCAGAACTGGATAAGATTCTGCATCTGCTTTTTATTTAACAGAATATTTACACTGCAGTCTTTTTATCTGCTTCTGTTTCACAGGGTGGGAGTTTTGATGTTGCAGACAGGATGTTTCACAGTGTCAAGAGCACATGGGAGTCAGCATCAAGGGACAACATGAGTGATGTCAGGGAACTCATCCCTGAATTCTTCTACTTGCCAGAGTTCCTAACCAATGCGAATCACTTTGAACTTGGTAAGTGCTAGAAGGGATTTCAGTGCTCCCCTTCTGCTCCCCAGCATCCTGCTAAGGGAAAAGATCCAGATCACATGCTGGGAGTTGGTCCCTGGACTATGCTGACTGATGAGGCTCTCTAGCAATGACAGATCAATTTTTATTAAAATAAGGCTACACAAATACAAGCTTCTGATATCTGAATGATATCAGAAGAACCATGTTTCTAGCTCAGAAGGGATTGTAGTTCCTATTAGTTACTGTGTAAAGGAATTGCACATTTTGTCAGATGAAAATAGATTTCGATATAAGCAATCTAGATGGCTGTTTTTGGAAATCTGGTTTGTATCATCACATCTATGTGGCTGTGAACAATAGATTAATTTGACTTTTGGAGATGGATCAATTGTTAAATGGTGTTGGTGAAAGGTCTTTTTTTCAAATCTTGTGTCTCTGGTGATTAAAGTTGCCAAATGTCCTCACTATCATCTTGAAAGGTTCTGCACAAGCCACATGAACCTGATATATCATCCCTGGCTTCAAGCAGCATCACTGTCTCTAGACCTTTCTGCATCAGTGATGGAGGGTCAGAGAGAATGCAGAAAAAATACTATTCAGTATAGTAGACAATAGGCATGGCAGTGCTGATTCACTTCACTTTACAGGAAATTCACATAATTTGCAATACAAAGCTGCTTTTTGTAGTGGACACAGGTTTGTTAACAATTAAGGCAGAGGAGAAATACCTTAAGAATCATCCTAAATTGGTGACAGCAAAGGAAACGTAATCTGTGGTGTTGAGGTCTAGCTATAATTTTACTTAAGATCTCAGTGAAATGAGACATGCTAAGAAAAGGGCAGAATGTAAAAAAGATGTTAGAAGATGGTTAAAAGATAAGAAAGAATTGGGGTAGTTTTGTCTTGAGAGGAGGCCAAGAGACAGAGCCTGGCTGAAATCAAGATCCAGAGACTGACCTGAGTGGAATCAAGTGGAGGGACCTAAAAAAGACACCAAACTTTTGCCAATAGAGAGAACATACACAGGAAGATTTTACAATAGGCAAAGCCAAACTTTCAACAGATTCAAACCTGAATCTGTTCACTGCTACACTGTAAGGAAATTTGCAGTCCCAAACCTGAGCCTTAACTTAGATTTGAATTCATCCAGTTGCGCAACACTGTGGTCTGATTTAAGAACATATGCTCGCCTTCTGAAAGGAATCAGATTGCAAAGGACTTGAGAACAAAATCCCTCCCAGTGGCTGCTTTAGTAGGAATATCTGGCAGTTAGGCCTACGGGATTATGTATAAAAAGAAAATTCTGCCAACAGGTTTGTCTTGTCTGAGTTTGCAGTCTGTGCTAAAATCGTTTGTGTTGAGGATGTGCATATTTTTACTGTATTAGTGACAGTTACTAGAACATTTTCTCAGTGCTTTATTACTAGATCAGAAATCCCAGGAGAAATTGGTTCTGTAGTGTTCTATGGCACTATATTTGATGTAGAACCTGAAACAACATATGTGAAAATCACCTCAATTTCCTTTGACTTCAGTGTTTTAGAAAAGCTGTTCCTATGTGCTATGTGTGTGATTCTTGTTTTTAATTCTCCTTTTGTAATTCCTGCAGGCTGCATGCAGGATGGAACAGTGCTGGGAGATGTGCAGCTTCCTCCTTGGGCAGATGGAGACCCCCATAAATTCATTCTCTTGCACAGACAGGTCAGTGAATATCAACATTTGTGACAAAATGCTGGACTGGGTCCCATTGAAAATGAAAATCTGAAGACCAGAGTCAGAAACCGAAATATTAGATCCAAATGCATCCTGCCTTTGCAGAGTTTGTGCTGGGTTCTCAACTTTGTATGTGTATTTGTCTGCCTAACAATTCACCCTGAATCAAGGCAAACCAGGTGAGGTTTGTATCTAGGTCTGTGGCATGGACCTGTGTCAGCCCATAAGTGTATGTGAACGTAACATAATGGATGCACATGGCATTTATATGGATACAGTTCCATGTTGTTGCTAACAAGCCAGTGTTTGTTTAAATTACCTACCTCCATCTGTAAGTTGTGCCAGGACTACAAGTATTTTTTTTTATTTTGGGAGGGAAAAACCTAATGTGATTTCCTGCCTATAATGGAGTCAGCCTTGGCAATCTGAAAGCAAATAGCTTTAAGGTCCTGAGACTTACTGCAATTAGAGCTATCCATTAATAGTCAGAAAGTCTTACTGCTGTATGATGTCACCTGGTGCGCAGTAGTGAGTGCAAAGACTATTCTGTATGAAGGTGGTTGCATTGAACACAGACTTTGCTGCTGAATATCTTGGTGCAGGTGTCTCTCTGTTAGAACTAAAAATGGAATGGGCTGTGGTCAGTTGGTTAGAGCATGGTGCTAATAACGCCAAGGTCACAGGTTCAATCCCTGCTCACTGCAGGGGGCTTGGGCTCGATGATCTCTCAAGGTCCCTTCCAACCTAAAGCATTCTATGATTCTATGATTATCTCATCAGATTTCCTCTGGCGAAACGAGTCAGTCTGTACTTGTGAGTGCATGCAGATTGTTGCTGTGTACAGGAAGTGTGATGATTATATGTGTTAGCATTGGTGGGAATAAACAAATGGCCCATGATTTTCAAGGCATTGCATCACCCTGGTTTGTCATGTGCACCTTCGGTTTCTACCTCAGTGGGTTCTTCTCACCTCTCCTATGCTATGCAGGCCCTGCCCTTGGGGGTTCAGCTTTTGTTTTCTGTAATCTCTTTGTAGGTTATTGCATCCAAACCTGCAGCTACAAGGATCTTCTGTATTTTGGTATCTCCAAGTAAGCCTCTCCTCAGCTGACCGCTCCAAATGCTGGTTCCTAAATCCTGTCTCTGACCTCCTTACTGACTGCCTTAACTTTTTGTTCCTGTTTTGAACAAAACCAGAGTCATAGTCTTGTCTTGTAAATATTCTTTTCTCCACTGTTCCCTTAACTATTGACAGCAACCACCATGCTCCCATTAAGTTACCATTACTTTCATGTCCCTTGCTTTGCACTTCTGTGCTGCACTGAGTTCACACTTTTTGTGATTGTCCATACTACTAAATAATTTCCATGCTTTTCTTGGGCATTCTCTTGAATCTTCATCTAGTTCCTTCTGATGTCCTGATACCTTGTTTCAGATCAGTACAGAGACAACTGGAAGGGGACCATCTTCATCATCTGGCATTATGTACAAATCTCCTTCCCTGTGCCCTTATATTTTGAGTTTCTGTATGGCTCCACTCCTCATACCTGAAGTGTCTCTCCTTTCCCTCTTAAGACCATACACATCTGTTTGATTTATTTGTTCTGGCCTCTTCTTACATGTCCTTCTCCCTGCAGCCACCTGGGTGCTGTCAGTAATTTAGCCTTAGTTCCACATTTGGCAATGTCATTTTTATCCATGTTTAAAAAAAAAAAAAAAGCCTCCTTTATAAGCTGGTCTTATGGGCTGTGAATCCATCCTGAAGAAAATGTTCTTTTATTAAACCAGTTTTAAGAGAATAGGCTCCTGGTATTGTGCATCATCTGCATATCTTGCAAAGAATTAATTGTTGTTAAAACATTATATTCCAAAGACAAGACAGTGCTTTGTAGCACCTGCATCCCATGCTGTCTTTATAGGTTCCTGATGCTTCAAACACTTTGGCTTGTGAATAACTGAGTAGGAGAGCGAGCCTGTTCAACTCTGGATTCATTCACACATGCTCAGGTTACTCCTGTGAGTGAACATGGATGTGATCTGAGCCTGTGCTTGACTACGTTTTTGTGCAGTGGTCCTGCCTTTGTTTCTTTTTTAGGACTGTTGAGCATATAGTGAGATATTTCATTTTTTGGTTTAATTGATTAAAAGGCTCCCTTTAGTCTCTATTGTGATCTGAACACTTCACTTTAAATCTATGTCAGAGCAATAACGCTAAAAAAATACTTAAAAGAGCTTAAATTTCTATCTTGCTACTTTACCTATTTTGAAATAGATAACTTTTGTATATAAAAATGTTGTTTTCAACCGTTTTGAAAATGTGATTGAAAGTAGTCACCTACCACTTTTTGCCCCAGAAGCCCTCCTCAATACATAAAAGCTTGTGAATTAATGATATTCCAAGTTGCGTGGCGTGGAGAATACCTGCTTATTATTATTAGCAGGTCTCAAGTGTCTCCATGCCCAGTAGCTTGGCTCAGTGGTGTGCTGCCACACAGTTTAGTAACCTAAGCCAGTACCTTGAATTTACAGCATATTCAGTAACTAATCAGTCCCTTTACAGAAGCTACGTTAATCTTCTTGTTCTTTGCTTTACCTTGTATTTCTGTAGCAGTTACATCTGTAACTCGGATCACAGCCCAGTATTACTGGGCTGACAAGCACAAAGTGAGTAGACCTGTCTGGGAAAAAAATGTATGGAAGAGTTTTTCACCAGAAAACTAGTCAGGTTGAAATGGGAATGTGTCAGTAGTAACAACAAAATGTCCCAATAAATCATTTCAACTTTCTGTCTTTGTTATCAAAACATTTCAAAATGATCTTTTCATTGCAATGTTTATATTAGATTACAGGCTGAACTGAAAATATTTTATTTTATGATGTAGCTGTTATAACTAATATTGCACGGTATATTGCTTCATTATTAGTAAAATACAAGGATGTAATTTTCCCAAAGTTAGAATTGGGCGGTGAAGATTTTAATACATGAGGAAAATTGGAGAGTTGGGCTTTTTGTTCTGATTTGGAAAGAAAACACTATTCAGTGTCTGAATTTCACCCAGAACCTGGCTTCCATTTTTCAGTCAGACTCTGTCCCATGCCTGTTTGCAACCTATTAGCTTGAGGGGATAAGGAGAGAATGTTTTTGCCAAAGAACTGAGATGCAGAGAGATTAAGAGCCATGTTCAGACTGCTTAAGCTCCTGTACATACACAATAATAGGTATTACTGAGTCAGGCATCTTTGAAGGTGCCTAGAACATGATTTAGAGGCTTAGAGCTCTAGTCACACTGAAAGGTAGTGGAAGGGAAGAGATCTGGGTTTTTGTCAGTGCCTGTTACCACATGATGATACATCTACTGTGAGGAAGGAGATCCTTGTGTAGTGTTGTGTGTGCTGCAGGCTTGCTGCTCAAAGTACAGTCCTTGCTAAAATGAAGAGTTGAGCCTAGGGAGTGCCCAATCCCCTCCCTTGCAGGGAAAGCAACTTGGTGCTACTCACTGCAAATGAGTTTTGGCCACTGCGGTCAAACATGCCACAGTTCCCTGGGGTTCCCCAGTGACTCCAATGAAGGCATGTAAGTTTTGGGGTGCTCTGGTTCCTTTCTCTGCTCTCTCTGTGACCTTCCAAGGTGTTTAGTCTCTGTTGTCCAGTTTCCCAAACACCACTCTCCTTCCCTAACAGAGGTGCTGCAGACAGAAATCCATGGATGCCTGAAAGCTGCTGCAATTTTACACTGATGTTTTTTTAAGAAAAACATAGGGAGAAATGCTGTCTCTTATATTGTGGCTTGTTTGGAGTGTAAAGTACTGAGCTGTGCTCCTTACTACTTGCGTAAAGGTGGGCACTCCAAAGCCATTTAGATACAATGGGGAACATCTGCCTTCACCTTGTACTTTGAAGTAAGGGTGCAATTTGGAAATGAATCTATCAATCATCCCTGCATAGCATGGTTTTGCTCTCATTGTAGAGTGATCTCAGATTGTGTGAACTAGATTTGTTTTGGATGAAACGAAACCAAAAGCTGCACTCCAGTTGTGCACTCCAGATGCTGGTGGCATTCAGCCTGTGGGAGCAGACTAGATCTAGTTTGAAGTAAAGCCCCACAGTGCACGTAATGTGGATATTGGGCCCTCTCTACCATCTGTTCTGTTCTACAGATCTGCTTCCACTGAACTGCACTGTTTGATAACATTGGCACAGCTGATAAAGCCACAAAACTTTTACAAATTAATTCAAATCTCAAATAGGAACAGTTTAGCACATGAAAGATTGTATTTATAAACTTGTGTTCTTAATCATTTGCCAGACCTGATCAGACCTCACGTGCAGTCGATCCAATATTCTCTCTCCAGCCATAGCTAGTACTAGATGGTACATGGGAGGGTGCAAGAAATCTTGCTGTGGAAGGAAAGTTGGTTAGCCTGCCTGGGAAAGTGGATCTAACCCTGAAGTGAGTTAGAGATCTTGAATTCTGAAACATGAGGGTCTCTGACTCCTCTGAAATCATCCACAAGAGTGGGTGTATTTGTTACGGGTATCGTGGTCATTTTTAGGAGGCTTCACAGTGAGTTTGGTGCATTAAACAGATCCAGGTCAACACTGATCTGAGGTTTGGCTATTGCTTTAAACAATATGAGAGCAAAGAATTGTTCTTAATGTAAAACTGTGAGTAGCTCCCTGTTTCATGATTAATAAGTTAGGAATCTAGTCTACTAAAGAAATTTATTTACTTCCTCCTGAGACCGCAAGTTTTCCCTCCCTGGCTGGGCTTGTCATAGTGCTCAGTGAAATACTGAGAGGCTGCACAGTTGCAGCTCTGTTGGTTGCTTTGTTTTGCTCTGGCAGTGATGCCAGGCAAAATTTACAGTTTGTAATTCATGGACTAACTGCTTTTATTAATGAGGATGAGTTCTGACTCTGTTCGTAAGTGTTTTCCTGTCGTTTGCAGGGAACAGATTGTATGCTGTGCTTGTTCTCTGAGCTGCCCTGTGATCGTTATAGCTGTGGGCAGGGTCATTTAAACCAGCTGCACTGGGTCTAACTGTCTTCTCTGTGAAATGAGCCATTGTTCTGGATCCCATTAGCTTGTTTATTTCTGTTGTGCTTTGGGTGGGATGGTCTGCTTGGGAGACCTTTAACTGAGCATCAGGGAGTATTGCACAGTCAAATGATTTGGAGATAGGGAAGTATTTTTAAAATGCTGAACACTGCTGCTTAAATCATTGGGCAAGGCCATTTTGGGGATGCACAAAAATTTGGTGAGGCAGGTGATGGCAGGGGCAGTAGCATTTAGTGAAGCCTTATGGGTAAGGCTGGCTAACCTGGAAGTGGGCAAAGGTTCAACTCAAATTTGTGTCCACTGCTTATGAACTTGCTGTCTGGGTCTTCCAAGCACAAGTTTTCCACTATGATTACACTGAGCTTTCTAGGGAGCCCACATTGGGGTGGATGTATTGCCTTGTGGCATGTCTCCCAGTCTTCTCCAGTAGTATTGTTTCTTCTGGTTCCATTAATCCCCAGACCTGTCACTATGGGTGGCAAATCTAATCAAAGTTAACCATTTGTTATTTTGGGGAAAAGAGTTCAGGTCCCAAGTTCTTCCAGGATGAGGAAATCTGGTGCTGTGACTCTCTCTGCTTAAGCCCTGGGAGGGTAGCAAAGTGTTTCTTGATCAAACCCAAGCAGTCTTAAAGCTTCTGTTATACAGCTGCCCTGCTGCAGCCCAACTCTGCTATTGCAAAACCCTTTCCCTGTCTTGGCTTGCAACACCCCTTGCCATTTCAGTACAAGCCCTACATTCTCTTTGCTGGTTCACGGCATGCAGCCTCTCCTGCTGTATCCTTCAGACCCAACTTAAAGCCCCTCTGCTAGTCATCTCCCTTTCCAATCTATGTTTATACCTATTTCTCAAACAAAGTCTCTGCTACTCAGCGTGATTCATAACTAAGGCATAGTTCTACAAATAGACTAGTACCTTAATTCACCTGTGGTTTATCTATAGAGCAAAGTGCTGGTACCAAATGCTAACAAATGTTTTGCTCATTTAAACCATCTTGTGTCAGTAACAGCATTGGTGAAGACATGATAGCACAGGCTTTAACGTATGTTGGAAGCCGGAGGATGTGCCAAGATCTGTGGACTGCTTGCACTTTGCTTAGTGGAACCTGCCTGTATTGTCTCTGAGGATATTGCTCCTGGTGTCTGCTAAGTCAAGGATGCTGCACTCTGTCCTTCCTTTTCCTGTGGGGATCCACCCTTCATCTCTTCGGTCACATTTTGTGAGGTTGTGCTGAGAATGATGGTACTGGAGGAACTGAAAGCGTGCAGATACACTTGCAGAGAATTTAAGTCTCAAGCAGGGACTGGAAAGTGGTAATGCATTTGTAATGGATATACTCTATCGAATTAATTAATTTTCTTTTGGTTTCAGGCACTGGAAAGTGACTATGTCAGTGCACACCTCCATCACTGGATAGATTTGATTTTTGGCCACAAGCAACATGGCTCAGCTGCAGTGGAGGCAGTTAACACCTATCACCCTTACTTCTACGGAGACAAGATGGACCTCAACAACATTAAAGATCCTCTGATTAAGAGCACCATCCTGGGTTTTATCAGCAACTTTGGACAGATACCAAAGCAGGTACCACTTTATCATAAGAGTAGAGAGCATAATTTATTTTGATCTTGTAGTATTTCAACTGGAAAGCAAGAATAGAAACTTAAATCAGAGACATTTTCTGATTTAAATCTGCTGAAAGATGGGCTATAGACTTCTCCATATTGTGTACTACACTGGTATGCACCCACATACAAGTATGGGATTTCACTTTCTAATCATTCTGTTCCTGTTGTATGCCATACAGTTGTGGCATCAAATCTGAGTTCTGCTCCTTCAGTACAGTCACATGAGTAACTACTAGTCTGGGCATGGGTACCATCAAATAAAAGCAGCTCAAAGTCTTACCTGTACTTTTTTTTTCTCTTCTCCTGAATCTCTGGGATTAGCTTCCTATCACTGTGAGGAAGGGATGTAGTCTGATGAAAATGCAATAAGGGTAAGGTTTTATTTTGATGAAGAGGTTCATGTATGACAGTCCTGGAGTCTATGATTAAGGATTTAAACAGATGTCTCTCCTGCATGATCTGGCAAATAGAGATTCATTTTTAAATGCTGTTCCTTTGTTCTAGCTTTTCACAAAACCACATCCATCCAGGAATGCCCAAGGGAAAAGTTCATCCGGAAGAGAGACTGTGCTGTCCCTTCACTCAAGTGGAATTCTTCCTCTTTTTATGAGCAGCCTGCAAAATCTGAAGCTCTCACCAGTTACAATAAAAGGTGCTGCAGGGGCTATGCTCCATTTTCTGATCTAATAAGTGCAGAATTCTTGGATAGAGTGAATCTGGATTTTTAAGAGCACAAAAGTAGTCACACAGCTTTGTATGAATTAGTACAATCAAGATCCCTTCTGCCAATTGTTGTTTGTGTATGCATGTATTGTGAGTGGGCAGATGGGCATTGAAAACACTCAAATACTCAGGAGAAATCTTGAAACTTCTGTTCTAGAGTTCGGAACGGATTTTGGTTTTTTTTGTAAGACACCTAAGTCTTTTCTCTCTTCTACATTCTAAGCGTTAACGCTCACTGTTTTCCATTTTCATTCTTTCTTTTTATATTCAACAGCAAAGTAAATACTGTCTGTCTCTGCTTCTTGATCTTCACATCTTTTCTTTTTCTTCATCGTTTTCTTAGTCTGTTACTTTTCTTACCATGAAAAAGCCTGGAAAATTTCAGTGTGTCTACTTTTTCATCCCACGGTGGTGTTCTTTACATCATACATCTTTGTGGGGACAGTGGGCTCCTGTAGCTCTGCTACAAAGGCTGTTGGTGACATGCCCAGCATCCTCTGTAGTGCATAGCATAAGGCAGTCTGCCAGTGAAAAGGAGCTTAATGACACTGCTGTTAAACCTCCTCCTTTGGAGCATGTCACTCCCTCTGCATAGATTTACGTGGTCCATTGGAGATGAGTGTTTCCGCTATTCTGTCTGGAATCTCAGCTGTAGAGTGAAATTCTGTCTGTGGGCCTGGCCACAGAACTGAGCCCAGTTGTGGGACTTGCTAGCCTCACCACACAAGCTGTGCAAGGAGGAAAGTTAACCTAAGTACTCTAAAACAACAGAATTAAATATGTTCTCTGTCTTGTCAGACTATCCCAAGGGAGCTATTGGGCACATTGTTCATACTGAGAAAGGCATTCTGGCTGTTGAAAAGAATAAAGTTTTGATTCCTCCCCTTTGGAGCAAAACATTCTGCTGGGGATTTGAGGACTTCACCTGCTGCTTTGGCAACTATGGGTCTGAGAAGGTAAATAAGAAAAAGTCTAAGCATTCCAGAAATGAATGATATGTGTGATCTTTGACTGGTTTGGGCACCCATTTCAGAGGCTGTTGGGGAGCTGATTTCAGAGGATGCTGTACAGGGCTTTCTGACAGTCAAGCTTCTTCAGGAATCTCAAGTTGGATATCCCAACAGAGTACAAAGTCATTCTATCTTGCTGAAAAATGTGGCATTTCCCCTCTAAATTATCTCAGGTTTTCCTTCCAGTGACTGTGGTGTCCATCAAAATGAAGGAGAAACCCTATTTCATAGGTTGTAAGGACAATACAAAGTCTCCTGGCCACTGATTAGAAATTTCATTGTGCAGAATTTTTTGCTGGAATTAAGATAGGACCATCTGTCAGTTCCCCTCTGGCTCCCAAGCTTAGCCCAGTGCATTCATTCAAAATATGATGTCTTCTATTCTAGCAAGTTAATACTCTTACTTCTTTGCTGTTAAAAATCAACAGTCTGTGTCATCACACTGCTTGTTAGGGCACTTGACAGATCCAGTTTCCTCCTCTACCACAAACACACTGATTTTTGCGTGTGTTTGGGGCAATGTTAAGACACACAATGACATCTGAGTTAGCTTGGGTACCAGAATGGCAGAATAAGTAATTCAGCAAGATACTGACTTGGGTATTTTGTGCAAGCCATATCGTTCTGTTTTTACAGACATACGCACAGTCAATGGAAGGAGGGAAAAAGCTGTGAGATGTATTTTACTTTCTGCTCCTTGCATAAAATTATTGACAGTTTTCTCCATTGATTTCTATTAAAATCAGTGCTTAGCAATTCATACTGCTGCTGTAGCTGTAAATTACTTGTTTTGTCTCTTCAAAAGTGGGGTGTCATTGAGCCTAGTGAGTGTGATTATACAGTCACTATGAGAAGTAGTTGGGAGTCCAACTTGAGTTCTCCCTGGGTCAACAGTGCCTCTGGACATGAGCTTAAAAGAAATTTTTGTCCTCATTGTAAGCAGGTAAAGGTTTGTTCTGTCTATGGTGTGGTTTTTGTAGCTGTGCCATCCAGCTCCACCAGAATGATTAGCACCATAGTGTTGTCCACATTGTGTGGGGGAGAGGTAGCACAGAATGTGAGCAGAAGGATGTTTGTGCTATAATTGTAGCAATGTGTAACAGACCTGACCTGGGTTTAGGCTGGTTTGGGTGCTGCTAACAGAGCCATTGGCACAGAACGGAATTTAGTGCTTTGGCTTTTGACTTTTCAGTCCAAGTAACAGGAGGGTTACAGAGCCTTGCACTAACTCTATTAGCAGCGGCCATCACAGCCTGAGCTTTGTTTTTAATCTACATTGAATGTTTGCATTCTGTCACTATATGGTGGCAGAATGCATTTGCCTGAAGTTATGTAGGAAGTCTGTGGCACGAGAGGGACTGGGACTCAGGTCTCCTAAGACATAAGACACTGACCTTTGTCCAGCTTTCCTGTTTGGCCTCTGGAGGCCCCTGCATGCAGCCACAGTCTGTGCATGTACATATTATGCAGCTGTGCTGTGAGCATAGAGACTGGTTAAGATGAGCTTTTCTTTCCTGGATTTGAAGAAATGGAGGCTCATTGAAAAATGAAAACTGAATCTGCCATTTGGTATTAATAAATGCATGGTATCACCAGATGAGGATTTGACTTAAAGCTGCTTTCTTGTACAGAACATGACTACATTTGAGTGCATGGCAGACTGGGGAAAGTGCCTCTGCGCTGTGTGTCCTTCAGCAACTACCATAATCACATCTGGAACAAGCTCGGTTGTGTGTGTCTGGGAACTTTCCTTGGTCAAGGACAAAGTGAAATGTCTGAACTTGAGACAGGTCAGTACTGTAGACGTTTTGCTATAGAAACTTTATGAAAACCAAAAGATTAGTTTCTTTCTCTCAGATGACTGGCAGAGGAAACACCTTTGGGTGCATCACGAAGGCAGAAAAAACTCAATAATCAGCAGTATCATGTGACGACCTGTTATCAGGTCAGGAGCTGATAATATGCCTTATATCCACAGCTTATAGTTATGAACTCTGCTTGGGGGAGGGTGGGGGTTCCCCTTTGGTAGCATTTCCAAAGTTTATCATGATCAAAGAAACAGTGAAGGTAAGGCGTGTGCTCTCTTCATTTGTGGTGGAGCCAACCCTTGGATTATTTTCAAAAACCAGTATCACCTGGAGATGCTTACAGTTCTTTTTGGGCTGCTACAGCAGTGGACAGGATCTCCAACACACCTTGCAAACTTAGCTGATGGAGATGAAGGCTCTGCTAGGCAAAGTTCTTGATTCTTTTCTCTCAACCTGAATTTAGAACACGAAATGTTCATCTGTCACTCCATGAGGTAGAGATGCATCCAATAAGAATTATACAGTTTGTGACCTTATTGTTCAAAATCCTGTAGTAGTTATTGATTTGGAGCTCATCTATAGTCATCAAACAGCTGTATAAATGCTATTTAATTTACAAAAGTGAATTCTCATGCAATATTTGCGTGGTTCACTTATGGTGAGTTCTCAGCTTTACAAGTAAAGCTAGAGCACACCTCTATCATACCTGAAAGGCAGCATGGGACCCTTTTTCCCCCTAAGAAATCAAAAGACAGAAAATGCTCTTCAACTTTTAGGCAAACTAATAAAGAGTTCACTGATCAGCAATGTCCCCAAGTGTTAGAAGCTTCTTCTGTTCATTTGCTCTGGAGGGATATTCAGACGATTTTTCAGTGCTTTCCATACCCTGAGCCAAAACATATTCTATTTGTCATTAAATGATATGAAAATTTCAATGTCTGTTGGGATGCCAGAGAATTATTTAGATCTTAATTTATCTGAAATTCTTGTGTGTTGAAATTAGGGGGGAAACTGTGTTTAGAGGAGTCTCTCTTCTGAGGTTTATGATGTTTCCTGCTTGAGAAGGAGCCAGAAATATGAGACAAGATCTTCAGTGATGACCTTTTAATCAGGCTGGTTATTATTCCAAACCAGGACATGGACATAGAAATGGAAGAAATAGCAGTAGAGAAAAGCATAAGCAGTAATCTTCATCATCATCAAAATGATACTAGTCAGGGGGTCAGTTTGAGTTTCAGGCAACTGTTTGAAGAGGCTGTCTTTTATCTCCAATATAATGCCTTTCTCTTTAACAATCTATAATCAGCTTTGCTGATGTGTTCCACTGTGATTAATCTGGTATGACCCAAAGTCCACAAAGTGGCATGAGATCATGCAATGACAAATTCTGTATTTTTTCTGTCTCTTTGCTAGCAGAGGCTTTTTTTGATGACTGTCTGGCATAGATGTAAATTTGAACTATGGTTCTAAATGTCTTCCAGTGAATTACTTGCTGCTTTCATGTAATTCACTGCTTCATGGTGGCTGCTTTTTCTGCTGAACAAAAAAATTGTATCGTCTTTCCTGAGAGAGTGAGCTTTGCTTAAGTAAAGCTGATGTGCTATAAAGTGGATGCTATTCACTTACCAGCTGTCTCATGGGACTGACACATTCTGGTTTGGAATGTAGTAAAGTACAGAAACTATATTTCAGCAGAAAAAGTCACTTTTCTCTCTGTAACAGGGGCTGCTTCCACAGTTTTGTGGAACACTAAAGATTGAGCATAATAGCCTTGGTATTGATCCATGCAATTTACCAGTTCCCTCAGTGTTCATGAGCAGAGCAATCCATGCAATCAAGCCCCCAGAATTTCTGGGCCAAATGAAACACTAGGCTGGGAGGATCATCTGGACAAGCTGTGCTGTCTGCCACACAGACCTCTCAGGGAGGTGTTAAGTGTAGCTGTGAAGTGTCTGTGTCCATGTCAGCCAGTTAAGTTGGATGGTCAAACTTAGTTTAAGTTTTCATGGACTAAGCATTCCT